GAAAAGTGTTAGAAAAGTCCAAAACGTATTGCATTTGTGTCAATTCAATCCTTAACATTTTGTCTTTGTGCCAATTCAGTCATAAACCTTTTGTCTTTATGCCAATTCAGTCTTTCCGGCTAATTTTGGCCAGATATTACTGACGTAGACGCCGGCCGGCCTACATGACACCGCAGGGATGACGTGGACAACTTTTAATAATATTTTACGAATTATTTATTTTTTTAAAAATTTCGTTTCTTTATTTTTATTTTTTTTTCTTTCCCTTTCTTTTTCCTCTAGCCGGTCGTCGGGCACTGGCGAGGCTCGCCCTCGCCAGCGACGACAAAGGCTCACCTTGCCCTCGCTAGTGGCCACGAGGTCACGGCCTTCGACCTCGCGGCCTCTAGTGAGGGCTCAAGCCTTGCCAGTGGCTGGGCAAGGCTGGATCTGGCAAGGTCGGGTCTCACCCATGGTTGGCGAGGCTCGACCCTCACCAAATTCGGCGAGATAGAATTGAGACTGGACCTAAAGTTGTGAGAATTTTATGAAACAAAAAAAAAGTTTATGGTAGAATTGGGAACAAGTTTGTACCGACCGTGTCACGTAGGATGGCCTGCATCCATGTCAGTGATTTCCAGTCAAAGATGGATTCAATAGGTAAAACGTGGAAATGTTTAGGACTCAATTGACATATTTAAAATATTTAGAACTGAATTGGTAAAAGTGCAATAAGTTTAGAACTTTCTTGGTAATTTTCCCTGCTTTTGGCAGCTCAGAATGTATTTCTAGTGTCGCCATCAACAACAACGGTTGAGGTAGAAGTGAATTTTAGAAAATAACGGCGATAGCCATTTTTCGAAAAATCACGCATAAAGTTTTGTGGTCTATAAAAACATTGCGGCCAACTATATAATTCTCTAAATGAAGTCAAGACAACAAAAGATGGAGATTAATTTTGCTCGAAGACAATCTCTCTTTTTTTACCTAGCAGACGAACCCAATCAAACTGCATGCAACAAACGATCCCAAATCAAACCGGAGTCACACGCCATTCTCCACTTTCATCCAAAAACTTAGCTCTGCCATTTAACAGATTAGGGGGCACGGTCGTATTTGGGTTCAATGACACGTCAGTCGGCTCGAAATTCGGACTACGCACTCGGTCCACCTATCCTTACTCTTAATTAAACTGGTTAATTTTCGCTGGCCGAATCCCATTTAACTCCCCAAACAAATCGACCTTGAGGCTCTGTTTGTTTCGCATAAAATAAATAATTTGAAAAATATTTTCTTAAAATATGATCGCTCGAAACACTCAAAAAATTATTCTCGGTCCGACAACAATTTATGTCAAACATTTGCGCGAACAATAAAAATATTTTTCGTTCGTCCATTTTTAAAAGCAATACGAGTGATATTTTTAGGAAAATATTTGTTAAATCATTTAAATTTTTCGCAAAACGAATGGAGCCCAAATTCGAAGCATTAAAAATAGTCATTTGATGTTATATTTATGGATTTTAGATTGTCGAGCCAAAAAAAAAGACCCATTAATATCTGGGACATAATTTCGTGGACACAAATTTGTCAGTCTTTTCTATGCTATCACTTCGAGCCATTGCTTCCTTTGTCGCTAAGGGACAAGGAAAATGCAATGTCTTAAAGCAACAACAGCACCTAAATTGATAAGAAAGGAGGTCCATACCACATCCCTAACCAACACCACTTAATTGAGATTGGTCCAAGCATAGAGCGAAAGTCTTTCCCCTCATTTATATCTTGGCCCTCCCACGATGCCTCATTTATATCTCGCCCGAGGGGCAGGCTCCATAATTTCGCCTTTCGATTTAGTGCTCTTGGTCAGAGTTTGAATTTCATTCGTGATTTATGTAAACGAGTGCCCGGCTCGATGATGTATACGTTAAGCATGCTTAATTTAAAATAGGGTCTTGTCAACGAGTGTTTCTTGAGCACTCGTTAAATATGTTTAGCGAGCAAATAATTGACTTCCTATATTTTGATTATGTATGCCACGACCACGAGAACAATCGGAAATTGAAAGTTTCGGTATTTCATTACGGCACTTTTTAATACGACCCTTCGAAATAATTCAACTTTGAAAGCTATAGGACACTATAACAAGAGAGAATCTAGCATATTGAAGATTGAAATTCTTTAAAATCCCCATGATATAATTCTTTTGAACCTAACCTATGTTTGGAAATCTTTTATGGAGGTGAAGAAAATATAGACCAAAAAAAATAATGAAGGCGTAGAAAAGGGAGATGTAGATGGTAATTATTCTTGTCTATCTTTGGAAGAATGAAAATTAAGAGCTGAGGAAAATAGAAAGACGACTATACTCTCAAGCGAAAAATTGCACATCTCTATATGGGCTCCTGTCGACGATGATATAAATTAGTGAAATTCACGTGAGCCTCATTAATTTGACCGAATCAATCGGTGCACTCGATCCCATGTACACTAAATTTTTGTTTCGAATCATAGATGGAAAAAAATGATTCGAGCAACAAAGTTTTCTGAAATATATACGCCCGATCGAGTGTTAATAAAGCTTTTCAATTGGCCGATGATGGACACAAATCCTAATCTTATCAATGTCTTAAAAAAGCTCGAAAAATAATATATAAAAGAAAGAGAATATCTCCTTAAAAAAATCAAAATTCATTGCGTGGAACAAGCATTAAGGTTAACAACAGTGAGATACTGCCAACATTTCGGGATTTCCCCATAAGGACGCACTCACGAAGTTAATAGTTCCCCAGATCCTCCAATGGGAAAAGTCAAGCCAATTAATTGCATCTTGGGTTTTTTATTTTTGTTTTTTTTTTCTGTTTTCTCAGAAGTCAATTAATTGCATTAATTTAGAAGAAAAGCAAGCGAAAAGTGAAATAAAAAAATAAAAAAAGCTGACCCATTTCACCAATTTGCAGCTTACAAAAGCTGGCCACCGAGAAATAAAGTTTGGGAACTCAATTAATTTTTAGTTGTTTAGTAATAAAATGACAAAAATAAGAATAATGATGTGCACAGCCAACGGAGCGACAGCCAATTAGACTCTGTGTATGTGTGTGAGAGAGAGAGAGAGAGAGAGAGAGAGAGAGTAATTACAAATAACCAATTTCCCTTTGCATTATTGAGTTGGGATCCTTTCGCTTTAACTTAAGTGCAATGAATTAACTAAATTTGATTGTCATTTTGAAAAACCATGACACATATATGAGAATAAACGAAAAGCGTTGGCTTTTCCGAAAAGGCAATATGTCGGATATTGGAAAAAATTTTAACCGGGTTAAATACTCGAGAAGATTCTAATTCGAGTTCGCCCTTATAGTTATAACCGAAAAATGTACCTAACATTTATTTCATATGCGAGTAACAATGTGCTCTCGAGGAAAACCTAATATTTCACTTGTCTCAATGCAGGCAACAACAATCTCATTGAACTGGAAGTGTAAGACTTTAAGCTGTACCTACATTCTAGGAGTGGACCCATCTGACCTAAAATTAGCTAATTAATGGCTGGAAAATAAGGTTGCCGTTCTTTTTTTTTTTTTTGGTCGAAAGGTTGCCGTTCTTAAGAAGGGGCTCCTCTAGCTTAAGTCAACTATACTGTAGCCAGCTCCATCCTTTAAGTTCAGTGGGTTCACTTCCTTTATTACAACATTACCATCCCTCCCACATGAGAACACATGAAGATCTGTGACTTTCTTGAGTATTTCCAGAAACTGTACGTATACTGAAAGTTAGCAACATGCATGTGCGTGCCTAACTTCATGAAATATCAGTATATATTAAACATAATATATGTGTTTAAGATTATATAAATATAGATATGATGAATTTGTTTGTCAGTCTCCATCCATGGGGTCTTGTCAGAGCAATCAAACATCACAACAAGTAGAACAAGACACGAGTTCTTTAAGCTTATTCGCGAAAAATATTACCCAAAACAATCGTCGTACCTTCGAATATCATTAGACGACATTCTTCGGAGCAGGAAAGGAACTCTGGTCTTGATGCCAAAAAAAGAAAAAAAAAACTACAGACAAGACACAGAAATGCAATGCGAATTGAAGCACTCTTCCGGTTTCTGTACGACCTTTTCCTTTCCTCTCACCTAAGCATTTACTCCCGTGGGAAGCACAGTAACCCTAGCTACGATTATTAACTGCAAACGACTTTTTGCAATAGGTTTAACAGTGTAGTTCAGCACATCCTCATAAACATGTTTGAGGTGAAAAACAGAACCCTTTGAATCTGCAACATGGTACGTGGGGGTGATTAAAGAAAGCAGCGGGAGAAATAACTCATGACTAGGGAAAACAGGATATATTGGAGTTGTATTTGAATCTTTTCTTTTTTGGCCAAACATTACATATTCATACATCACTTCACTCCAAAAGCTTCAAGTTATACATTAATTTGTTGGGACCATGAAATTTGGTTTAGTAATGTCCTCCATTACATGATGGAGAACACTGCATTTCCTAAGCATTAGCCTCAGGTGTTGTTCAAGTAAATTACATGTACGGTTTCACCAATTTCAACCATTACGTGTACAGGCAAATCAATGAAAGAGAGACTATTTATTTGTAATGCTAATATACTAAGACCGGTTCTCAAAGTTCATATATAAATGATATGACATCCGATAGTAGATGAATTCTAAACAAACAGGTCAGTTAATACTCAAATAAGATAATGTGTACATTACTGATTATATCGATTTTATGAATCAATTGTAGCGTATACAAACTACGTCTTGATTCCGCACGCAGGAAACATAAACTAATGGGGAAAATGTGGAGTGAAACATCGATTAACGAAGTCATATAGCTCTAAAGAGTGGTGATCAATACATTAAATATATGCATGCTTCCAGTCCTCTCCCCATCTTTAGACCCAAGAGATCCCTAAGTAATCAGCAAATCTAAAGAGAGAATAAATTCCACTGGTTCAACTTAGAACCGAGTCATCAGAAAAAAACACAAGAAGAAAGAAATCGAGGTAAAACTTTTTAAACATGATAGTCAAGAAAGTTCATACCCAAGAATTAAAAGGATATTGGATCTAGATCCCTAAGAGACAAAATATATCTTCCTCTTTTTCTTTTCTTTTTTCCTTTGTGGTTCTCTCAAGCTCATACAAGTTCCTGTTGCCTTCATCTCACCAAAACCCTCCACAACATCCCAAGCTAACACAGCAGCTCTCATGCTTCTCCTCTTCCTTTCCTCGAATTCGCCTTCACTGGCAGAATCCGGATTCTTTTCGCCACCCGTACGAAGTCCCTACTCGAAGATAGAACCTAAAGGGTTAGGTTTTCATTGGCGGGGTATGTAATAAAAGTTCCCATTGGATAGGCATGGGACGAACATGACAGATTTTGAGAGAGAAGCCAAAGATTCATTTTAAATATTAGTAAAAGAAAGAACTTACTTCCAATTAAGGTCACCAGCAAGAAGAAGATCATTCTCAATGTCTTCGTAGGCTATAAGGTGTCCGGGAACAGCATTGGATAGGTTGAGATCCTTGTCCGGGACATCAGCATCGTCCACGAACATCTGCCTCAGCGCCTTGGCGAGGCTTTGGTAGCTCTCGTGCTTGTGGAGACTGATGCGGTGGCAGATCGAGCGGCCCTCAATGACCACGGTCACCGGCGGCACGACTGCGGCCACGAGATCGTCGTCGAACCCGATAGAGCTAGGGATCTTGCTGTTGCTGTTGCTGTTAGGGTTCTTCAGGAAGGCCGGCGAGGAGGAAGGTGGGGTGGTGGCGGCCATGACTTTTGCGAAGTAGTTGTCCATGGATGAGACGGGCAAGTTCCTATCTTGGAACCTCCTTTTCATCGAGTCTTGCCTTTGAGAGCTATACCCATCCATATTGCTATATAATAATAGATGGGTTGTGATCTTGAAGGAGATGTATGGCTCAAGAACCTCAAGGGCTTTTGGCCAAGGGCAGATCAAACTCTAGAACAGATTGAGTAGGGACTTGGTTTTTGAAGCAGAAGGAGAGAGATGAGTGAAAACTGAAAGTGAGAGAGAATTTGTTGAGATGGTGTTAAAATTTGATAAGGGTCAGAGGTGAAGATATATAGGGATAGAGAGAGAGAGAGAGAGAGAGAGAGAGAGAGAGAGAGAACACAAATGTCCGGAGGGGTCACTTTGGCGTATATGGAACAAGCACTTAACCTTAACCTCGTGTTTTCCCTGTCCTTTTACTTTCCCCCCTTGTTCAGTAATAATGTTAGGATTGCAAATCTTTGATTTACATGGTTACTTTAGAAAATGAAGTGACAAAAGCTAATGGGGTGATTGACTGAAAGCTATGTTAACTTATAAAGTAAATGTTCAGATCAGTATGTGCATCTTTTGTGTTCCTCTTCCATCTTGAATGCAATAAAGTCAAAAAATACAAGATAGGTTTTACACAGTCGAACTATAAAATTGATGCAACACAAAACGTTCTTCTTCATATAATAACGTTAAGAAACCTTTCGTGTAGAGTAGGCTTTTGCATCGAATGCTGTACCGGAGCCTAATTATTATTCCTTATAAAACGACATTCACGGTTCGACACGTGTGAACCAATTTTATAATCTCTCTCTCTCTCTATCTCTCTCGTCGAAGAGAGATAGAGAGAGAGAGAGGGCATTAGCCTCGGAACATTCATTAAGGACCCGTGGTGCAAAGGTCGTCTGCTTCTGGGTTTTGCCGAACTTCCTTTATAATCTGAATTTCCTAGCCCAGACGGGAAGGAGACCATCGTTGATAGGGACAGCTACAAACAGTTGCCGCCGAGAAAGGGGTTTGGCCAATCCAGTCTCGTGTCCCTCAATTGCTGATTTTCCCTGTTTAGTGAGAATCAGAAATTCATACTGCCTGTAATTTTTCTTGATTTATCTAGGGTATTTGGGGCCGGCCGGCAACCTATGAATTCTCAACGTGTGTGGTAGTTTCCTGTTTTGATTGTACCGGATGATCATAAAATCACACGGGTCCGTGACTCTTAGGGTTAGTCCAAAGAGTTGACAATAGCGGAGGTCAAATCGATATTCTCTACACAATCACTAAAATATTGTCCAGTATTTTCACCAATTATCTAGAGATCGACACGAGTGCATGGGAGAACAACATGTGATCCTGTGACCCATCCAAGTGAATCGTAAATATTTCGACGAAAGGAAGATGCTGTCTCCTCATTATAACAACCTTCCAACATTAGTCGATTAAGCTCGGAGCCATAGAAATGCATCACTAATTTTTAGGAACCAATTTCAAAGCTCAGTACAAGAATGTGTAAACTGGCATCAACTCCATAGTTGTCTCTGAGATCCTTTTGTTCATCTGCATTATCTATTTATAAAAAGATTGCTAGTTAATATTAACATAAGGTACTAGAAGCAGTAAGCGTATACATTCTCTCATCTCAAAGTATGGATTCAAATCCGTGCTAGGGCGTTCTCTTGGGGCTGAACTAAGAGCACATAGCGGTATGCCTTCGATAATTACCTGGTGCGTGTCACGATTGGTCGGGTGCTTAAAGAGACCCAAATACCGATCGACTTAGAAAGAGTATGTACAAGCTGAAGTTCTTATTTATCTATGGTTGAAACAATTATATGAATGTCATCATCCTATGAGCAGAGCTCTACCCAATACTTGTGAGCGCTATATTTTGCACGCGATCGTGAGGATTAATCAAGTCAAAATTTGGATTTCTAGTACAATGAAAAAGCCAAAAAGAGATTCCCAAATCCCTCAAGAACTCACACTTAACTGAGGATGTATCAGTGGCCGTGGAAAAAGGTAAACAGAAGTGATTTTGGCACATACAGCTCTGTCTCTCTCTCTCTTTTCAACTGGCAAATGAGTACATAGTACACACCCATAATTCAATGGTCACATGCACGGATTTTCACTATGAGGGGAAAACCCAGATTAGATGAATGGATTTGTCCTCACCTCAAACAATGACAACAAACTCACAAAAAAAAACTAAAATTACAATTAAAATTCCAACTGGGCCCTCTGTGCATGGGATGTTTGCTTGTGGGTGCAAAAGGTATGAGGAGCCTCTTATTCTATTTCATTTTTCTTTGAAAGTTATTTTTGGGGGTGCCTATCTAGCGAGGGCATTATTGCCATGGGGAAAAAAAAAAGAAAAAAATTCAATTTAAACTATTAATTTTCGGTGGGAACGGTGAAGTGTATGGCGTGTGGCAGAAGGAAGCTGAATAAATGGAATGGGACATGAAGCGATTAAAAAAATGAAAGGGTGTAGGAATGGGAAGGCAACCTTGTAAATTGAAATGCCCGTAGGCTGTGGAGACGACCGCGCTGCGGTCGGCGAACGGCTCGTGCTTTGACCCGCAGATGGTCGGAAGAAGGAGAAGAAGGGGGGCTCGAAAGGAGGGCATCGTGTGACGATCTCGAGAGTAGAGAGAGGACAAGGGCGTTAGAAATTCATAGCCTCATGATGTGGAAAGAAACAAAGTTCGGGGTTCCTAGATCCACGGTCGATGGGGTTTGTATAAATCTTACATGCATGGAATCTCCCCTCCTTTGAGATTTTGAATTTTTTTTTCGAAATAAGTATATTGAAAGTTTTAAAACTTGTCATGAAAATGTAATTGAATCATAAAATTTTCAAAAAGTGCAGTTGAATTCTAAAATTTTCAAAAAAGTGAAATTGAATCCTAAAACTTGTCAAATTAGTGCAATCAAGTCCTTCCATTAACTCCGTCTAACTTGACAAATGGAAAATGACTAAATTGCACAAACTTGACAAGTTTTAGAACTTGATTGTACCAACTTGACAAGTTTGAAACTTGATTGCACTTACTTGACAAGTTTTAGGAGTTTATTGCACTTTTTTGAAAATTTTATGATTCAATTGCATTTTTGCGACAAGTTTTAGTACTTGATTGTACTTTTTGGAAGTTTTATGACTCATTTGCATCTTCGTGAGAGGTTTTAGGACTTTTAGTGCACTTATCCCTATTTTTTTTGTCAAACTTTCTCACATAGGGTCAGAGTCGAGATTTGCCTCGGATTTATTTCAAGTGTCACCAAATTTCACACGCGTTTTTCAATCCCGTTTGTACAAGAGAGGACACGTTATAGTTATCTCATGTTGCTTGTTTAAGTGGACCGACGGAGGCTATGCATGATATTCTTTTCCCCATTTCTCAAAGAATTCTCACGTAAGGGGCAAAATGTTGATGAATAATTTCACCCTTTCATATTTATGATATATATGTATGTATTTTCATTTGTGCAATTTTCAAATATATTAACAAACCATGATCATAGATTTGTTGTTAGCTTACTTCACGTGAGCATTGTTTAATGCAAGAATGACCAGAGATAGGTGGCAGGATCTTAGGTAATTCTTACTCGTTTGGAATGTTTTAGAGAATTTTGCCTTAGTGGGCTTGGAGCGAGGCTTGTTATAAATAGTCGAACCTATTCCCTAACCATTTCTACTGGGTCTAGTGTTAGCTCATCTCATCCTGACATGCGCTAGCCCATGATTAGCCCGTCTTCCCCTGACACATGGCAACTTGGGCACGGATGAAATCCATTCTGGAGCATAAATTCTGCTCCAGAATGCATTCCGGAACAGAAATGCGTTTGTTAAAAAATTTCCGAAATGCATTCTGGAGCAATTTTTGCATTCTAGAATAAAAATGTGTTTGTTAAAAATACTTGATTCCAGAATGCATTCTTGATTTCAGAATGCATTTTTGATTCCAGAATGAGTTTTGGGCAAGAAAAAGAGAAGCTACTTTTTGTAGCTTCTTGATTTCAGAATGCATTCTCACTATTTTTTTCTCTTTTTCGTGGCCTTTACAACACATTTTGAGATCTCACTAATTTTTTTTTTCAGAAATTGCATAAAAATTGAAAATTTCCAAAAAAATTCATAAAAATTTCCAGAAAATAAAAAAAGTCAGATTTCGGGAAAATAGGAAATTTGGTGAATTTTTTTCAAAAAATATAAAAGAAATCAAAAATTTCAAAACTTCACAGAATGGCTTAGAATACCTTTGGGCACCCACTTTGAGTGAAATTTAATTTTTTGAGGTGCCCAAAAAAATCAAAAAATCAAAAATTTCAAAACTTCACAAAATGGTAGAATACCTTTGGGCACCCACTTTGAGTGAAATTTAATTTTTTTGAGGTGCCCAAAAAAATCAAAAAATAAAAAATTTCAAAACTTCACAAAATGGCTTAGAATACCTTTGGGCACCAACTTTGAGTGAAATTTAATTTTTTTAAGGTGCCCAAAAAAATCAAAAAATAAAAAACTTCAAAACTGCACAAAATGACTTAGAATACCTTTGGGCGCCCCACTTTGAGTGAAATTTAATTTTTTTGAGGTGCCCAAAAAAATCAACAAATCAAAATAGATTTCTGTTCTAGAAATCAATTTCTGGAGCAGAATTAGTCATGTTTTATCAAACAAATTTCTCCTCCAGCAATCAATTTCTAGCAAGAATTCCGAAAATCAATTTCTGGCAAGAATTTGATTTCTGGAGCAGAATGGTTACCATTCGCGCCCTTATCTACCGTTAGTTTCCTACGCTAGGATTGTCACCTCGCATAATCCTATAAAACAATTTTTCGATCCTCTCACTGTGAGCACCCCATCACTACCCTCATTTAGGTGGACATTTTGGACTTCCGAAGTTCCAGACTTCATCACCTCTATTGATCAGGGCATCTCCGGGCTTTGGGGGGATTTTGGTGGAGATTCATTGAGAAATTCTCCATAATAAGTGACTCGACCTTTTTCACCTGCCACTTAGTATTTGGGTGTATTAGGAATGCCCGCTCCTTCTCTCATGCCCTTCATATTTCATCCCCGCTTCCGATGTTACTGCCGTGACACACTAACTATTCCGCAAGACTCAGGCCTGTTTGGTTCAACTTTGAAAATGCTACTTGGGGGAATGCAAATACCTTTGGGTGAAAGCCTATTGGGGAAATGCAAATGGTGTTTGGTAAAAATATTTTGTAAAGCTACTTTGGCCAAAATATAGTATTTGGTGAATTTTTTTTGCAAATGGACTTTGGGAATAAA